ACAATCGTTTCAACCAGCTGAAAATGCAGAACAGCTTATTATGTCATTCTTTTTAAACTAAATTTGGTCAGTTCCTGGTAATTATCTGAAATGCAATAAACTATATCATCTATATCAGAACATGAAACACTGCCTTTGTCAATAATTCATAAATTGTTTGTTTGTTACTCTCCAATCAGCATTTTGGTTAGTGGGGTTGTTGAGTTAAGTAAGGGGAGTGACTGGTCCATTATAATTTAGAACATAACTCTGTGTTGACAAACATTACGTTTTCATAACTATTAGAGATATAATATAAATCCTTTGGACTAAAATACCCAAATTAAATTTTGAATACTCGAATATGTCATAAATGCTTCAATATTTTTTTTTAGTTGTATCGAACTTTAACATATTTAACACAGTGAACAATAAAGAATATGTAATTAATAAGTCTAAATACGATGGATTTGGTTTCATTGTCTTTCATACTTAATTTGCATTACAACCATTTGTTCTTTTATGGTCACTGCAGTCCAAAATGTAGGGGCAAAACACAGAATACCCATCTTAGTTATCATTAAAATGAATCATTCAACAGTTGGTTTGTCACATAATAAATATCAAAAGATTGGTCAAACAGTTGATGCATACGGAATACTGAACTACAAAAGGAAATGAACATTAATAAACTGAAAGAGCTTGGTCAAAATATAAATAATGCTTCGAAAAGTAATCAGCACATTGTCAATGGTTTCCTGATGAAAGAAAGTTCAGTAAACCATTACACATTAGTAACCACATGAAATTTTAATTAATATAAACATTTCCAAGAAACAAGGCAATTGGTCTCACAAAAGAACCAAAGAAAAATATTAATAGTAACAGCAAGCAACGCATCTCGCACTTTCTTAACTCTATGGGGTTCATTATCTGAAGTTTTGAACCAAGAGTCTTATTATCAACATTGATAAACAGTATTCAAGGTGATGTATAGAGTATAAAAATTTGCACAAATATACGACTTTATATCAAACAGTTGCTCAAACCGTTATCCTTCTCCTGTTGTGACCAAGGCATTGAAATAATATGCAGTGCTAATTGACTTTTCTGCAATTGTATCTGATCTCTCCGTAGGACCCTGTAAGAGGCTTCAAGTTACCCATCTTAATCATGGAAACTCCAAAATCTTTGGCAAAAGCATAAGGTTCATTGCTGTATAGTTTCACCAAACTGTCACTTTCACAACCATCACCCTTGAACAGCTCTTGATCAGAATGGAGGAGACCCTTTTTGTACAACAAAGATTTATAGTATGTGGTGTCAAATTTTGAAGGAGTGGCATCAAGGGGTGCTAAGCTATTGTCTCCTCCTCTTCGAGGGCATGACTCACGCAAAGTGGCAGCAAATTTGGGGTCTATGTTGGTGTCATTGAAGATCCTGTCCCTGAAGTTAATGCACCTTGCTAATCCAATGCTATGGCCACCGGAGAGGACCACCAAATCCTTGAGGTTTAGTCCATGAGTTTGGAAATTAGCAAGAAGCTGTTGAAAGTTGAAAAATGGAGCTGGAAGATTGTCATTCGCAGCATCCCTGCTTGCATTTCTTGCATCTCTTCTGCCTAGTAACACTTGGTACCAATATTGTGGACCACCCAACTGTTAACAATCAACACATCAAGCAAAATATGTGTATGCAAAACAAAAATCATTTATTATTTTGCTATATATGTATATAGAAGTTGGATAGATATCACTGTGAACATGGTTTTAACCACAGAATGATTTCTTGCAGAAGGAGAATTGATGAAAGATTTGGATTGCACTCACTATGGCTACAGAGTCACGAGCAGCTACAGCCAAGATATCTGCGCATGATACTACAGGATGTTTGCAAGCCTTATCCACTGCTGCTTTGATTTTATCAACCACCTCGAATCCTCTGATTGAATTCAGATTTGCGAATGCAGTCTTCTCCCCCAAGAAGAAAGGTGTGTCATCTAGCAGCACTGATCCATCACAGCCCTGCAGTTTTCCCACGTGGATATTTTAGGTTCATCCTACGTTTGTTTAATACTATAATGCTTCAAATTTTGCTATTAGCTTCTGACTTGTACCCTACGCATCATATACATCACAAATAGTTGTTTCCTTTTGCTGTTAAAATAGATATTAATTAATCTAAGTCTCACATCAACTTATAAGAAAAAAAAGGAAGTAATTAATATTAAAGTACTACAATAAATAAATATTTGTTTTTAGTGTTTTCGCCATAACATAATAACTCATTTGGATAATTTGGTAATTGTGTGCAGAAGGTTTGTAATTTTTGGAAAAACAAAAATTATATAAGAAAGTTTGAAATTTTTATGACAAATATACGACGAGGTTTACAATTATATGAAAATTTGATATGTGGATATTCTTTTCTTTTATTCTTTTTATTGCGTGATTTCCAAAATAAACTATAACATAAGGTATTTCAGTCTTATATTTTATAATGAATCATATAAAGGTGTTAATACATATTATCCTATTTATCGTGAGTTGAACGTTTAGTGAATTAATCGACCTTAAATTAAAGAGTTCAAAAACTTCAAATATAGTCCGATTTATCACAAATTAATAGGTTAAATAAATTGACTTACTTAATTATAAGTTTTTGTTTAACACCAACAAAAATTAAAAAAAATCCTAATTAAAATTTAAATAAAGTTCAATCCAAATTTAAAATTATGTTAAACTTCAAATACAATTCAAAATCAAAAAAAAAAATATAATCTAAATACATTTAGAGATAAAAGACCATTTAGAATCTTTTTTAATATAATTTTATATTTATGATTTATGGGTAGATTAGTAAACGTAAAGTATTACAATAAATAAACATATGTTTTTAGAGTTTTCACCACAAAATAATTTGGTAATTGTGTGTTGAAAGTTTGTAATTTTTTCCAAGAAAAAATCATATAAGAAAGTTTGAAATTTTTATTCAAAATATATGACAAGGTTTGCAATTATATGAAAATTTGATATGTGGATATGCTTTATATTTTTATTTTTTTATTGTGTGATTTCCAAAATGAAATTAACATAACATATTTTAGTGTTAAATTTTATACTAGATCATATAAAGTTATTAAATCCGGTCATCCTATTCAACTAGACTAGTCATTTGATGAGACAACCTAATTTTACTTACTCAGAGAGTCTAAAAATTTTAAATCTGACTCGATTTATCATAGATTGATAAGTTAAATAGATTGACACACTTAATTATAATTTTTTTCAATACCAACAAAAATTTTAAAAAAATTAATTGAAATCTAACTTAATTTCAATCCAAAATGATGTTAAACTTCAAATACAATCTAAAATCACAAAAATAGAATATAATTCAAATACATTTAAAGATAAGATAGTATATTTAGGATTTTTCTTTTTTTAATATAATTTAATATTTATGATTTATGAAACTAGATTTTTAATAGATTAAGTTCATTTTTTACCCATATCAAAATTTGTAATTTATTGTTAATCCAATCAAGCTTGAACTCCTAATAGACTGGATTGATTCACTAGTTTTAATCTATTTTGACAGGTCTACGTGTGACCGAAATTTTGGTGGAATGAAAATTAATTTTAATTATGTAAGAATAGTTTGAGGATAAAATAATGTGGAACTTACATTAACAAAGCAGTCATGGAAATGCAAACGCAGCAAGGATGCTCCGATGCGTTTTTCATGAAGAATTGCCTCCTTTACAAGTGAGTATATGATTGGCAATGCCTGAGGGCAAACTTGGTCATAATAATCATGACTTAGCTGAGCAAAGGTAGGGATCATAAATGTTGGCACCAAAGTGGCCATAAAAATCAGAAGAAGAGATTGAAGATGAAAAATCATTGTGCTGATAAGATATTGCTTTGTGAGTGTAGCTAACAAAAGTGCATAGGATTTATATATAAGAGGGAATGATGTAGAGAAACTTGTTTTAGTTACCAACATATATAATATTGTAGGTCATAGTAGACCAAGTGATTTTCTTCTCAGTGCCATTCACCACTATCCCATTACAATTCTTCAAGCACTGCTTCACCAACTCTTAGATGCAGACATATATAATATATAGATACATATATGTTGCAATTATATACTATTGCAGAAAAGAATATCACTGTTCATAAAAACTTTGGTTCTGATCAAATTTGGGAGGTCTACACCTTGTAATATTTGGGAAATAGCATATATAATTTTGGATGAGTTTGTTGCATTTTTTTTTTATAAAAAAAATGTGTTTCTTGGTTTCAGTTTTTTATGGTTTGTGTTTATTTTAAAGAAAACATTTTTCTGTCTTTTTTTTTAAATAGAAAAATCCCTTATGTTTTTTTTTTTTAAATACGATATTATTTTAAAATTTGCCCTTTAGTAACAAAACTGCCCTTTTTGTATGGTTTTATATTAATTATAGAATATTGTTTGGTTGAAGACTATTTATATATTAGTGTTAAATATTTGTATAAGAAATAGTGGAAAATGTATTTTATTATTGTTTCGTCAAAAAATAAACTTTAAAAAATAGGGAATACAAATAAAATAATATGATATCTTTGCAATTAAAAAAACAAAAATATAACTTTTGAGAACTAAATATCTCGTCTCAAATTGTGAAAGTTGGCAAGTGGAAAGTTTAAGTGAGAAACTAAGCCTCTAATTACTACCCGTTTGTATTATTAAGTATGAAATTAAATATAATGACTAAGAACAATGAAAAACTAGTTAATTTTACTATGATTTTTTAATTAAGTGATGACAACTAATAGAATTAATTAGGGTTTGAATCCTACGAGTCCCTTCTAGCAGTTAAACTCAAAACAAGTTCACTCAAAAATCTTGAACTTCAAATTAGCTAAAATGCTTAAATTAATCTCTTGAATTAAAGCACTACTTAAAATGAAATTTGATGGCATATAAAATGAAAATTCGAATCTAGAAATTGGTCTAGCTAAGCCTCTTTAGATATGGGTAGTTGTTGAGGGTGATAATTATTAAGAACATATAATTAATAAAGTGGCATGACAAAACACACTAATTAGATGGCTAATTACCCAACACGTTTTCTTAATTAACTATACAGAAGGATATGTATTATATATAAGTTGAAAAGTTAAAAGGGACACCTAAACTTCTAAGCAGTTGTTGGAAAAGGAAAGTCCCCCAAACACTTCTTATGTAATCATAATACGATACATTAGAAAAAAAATTAAAATAAAGATAAACANAAATCAGCTGGTGCAAATGTGAATTCTTTGAGAGGTTTTGAAGTAATTGATGACATCAAAACTAAAGTGGAGGCTGTTTGTCCCGGAGTTGTTTCTTGTGCAGATATTGTAGCTGTTGCTGCTCGTGATTCTGTTGTTGCAGTAAGTTTAATACCATATAATAAATATGAATATCTATGATATAATGATAAACAAGACAAAGACAATATATAGTGTAATTCTATTCATATATTTGTTTGCTTGTTACACTCTTAAACTTTTGTCGTTGCTACAACTAAAATAGTTATCATAAAAGTACATAAATTTATGATATAGAATTGTTTATGATGATATGAATATGATAGTATAAAACTGTTGTTATTGTATGGATTTTTTCTCAGTTGGGAGGTCCATCATGGAATGTTGGGTTAGGCAGAAGAGATTCAACCACGGCAAGTAAAGATGCTGCCACTAAGGATATTCCATCCCCACTTATGGATCTTAGTGCCCTTATATCTGCTTTTGCAAACAAGGGATTTAACACCAAGGAAATGGTAGCACTGTCAGGTAAATTAGAACTACTCTCTAGTTAACTATGCATCAAAGTAAGATTATGAATGCAACATTATCAGATGTGATGAATCTTGAGTAATCTAAGTTTTTTCATCTTTCAAATATTGATGTACATATAGGAGCTCATACAACAGGGCTAGCCAGGTGTCAGCTATTTAGAGGCAGGGTTTATAATGAAACAAGCATTGAGTCAAACTTTGCAACATCACTCAAGTCAAACTGTCCAAGCACTGGTGGAGACACCAACCTTTCCCCACTAGATGTCACCACAAGTGTTCTATTTGACAATGCTTATTTCAAGAATCTCATCAACCAAAAGGGGCTTCTGCATTCTGATCAACAGTTGTTTAGTGGTGGTTCTACAGATTCTCAGGTCACTGCCTATAGCAATGACCCTTCAGCTTTCTATGCAGACTTTGCTAGTGCCATGGTCAAAATGGGAAATCTTAGCCCCTTAACAGGGAAAAGTGGCCAAATTCGTACTAACTGCCACAAGGTTAATTAAAAGTTACCAAGAAAATAAGATGAGCAAAAGAAAAAAACAATGCTCATGCAGTCACAATATATGTGATCTTTCATGTATTATTGTATTTCCTTGTGTATGTTTGGAGATAATACTCTAAGAATTTAAGTGTAAGGCGTTGTGATTAGAAGCTTCAGTCCTCTCAAAATAGAGGGGAATAAAGGAAAGTGGTGTATTGAAATTCTATGGCTTGTTAATTGAAGTCTTTGCATCAATGTATCACATTAACAAGCTGAAAATTTCACTGGTATCAGATTAGTGTATTTTTGCAATTTACTACTATAATTACCATAATGCATTAATAGTGGCTAACTATATACCAGTGAAAAACAGAGAAGTTTGATTAGACAATCGTTTCAACCAGCTGAAAATGCAGAACAGCTTATTATGTCATTCTTTTTAAACTAAATTTGGTCAGTTCCTGGTAATTATCTGAAATGCAATAAACTATATCATCTATATCAGAACATGAAACACTGCCTTTGTCAATAATTCATAAATTGTTTGTTTGTTACTCTCCAATCAACATTTTGGTTAGTGGGGTTGTTGAGTTAAGTAAGGGGAGTGACTGGTCCATTATAATTTAGAACATAACTCTGTGTTGACAAACATTACGTTTTCATAACTATTAGAGATATAATATAAATCCTTTGGACTAAAATACCCAAATTAAATTTTGAATACTCGAATATGTCATAAATGCTTCAATATTTTTTTTTAGTTGTATCGAACTTTAACATATTTAACACAGTGAACAATAAAGAATATGTAATTAATAAGTCTAAATACGATGGATTTGGTTTCATTGTCTTTCATACTTAATTTGCATTACAACCATTTGTTCTTTTATGGTCACTGCAGTCCAAAATGTAGGGGCAAAACACAGAATACCCATCTTAGTTATCATTAAAATGAATCATTCAACAATTGGTTTGTCACATAATAAATATCAAAAGATTGGTCAAACAGTTGATGCATACGGAATACTGAACTACAAAAGGAAATGAACATTAATAAACTGAAAGAGCTTGGTCAAAATATAAATAATGCTTAGAAAAGTAATCAGCACATTGTCAATGGTTTCCTGATGAAAGAAAGTTCAGTAAACCATTACACATTAGTAACCACATGAAATTTTAATTAATATAAACATTTCCAAGAAACAAGGCAATTGGTCTCACAAAAGAACCAAAGAAAAATATTAATAGTAACAGCAAGCAACGCATCTCGCACTTTCTTAACTCTATGGGGTTCATTATCTGAAGTTTTGAACCAAGAGTCTTATTATCAACATTGATAAACAGTATTCAAGGTGATGTATAGAGTATAAAAATTTGCACAAATATACGACTTTATATCAAACAGTTGCTCAAAACGTTATCCTTCTCCTGTTGTGACCAAGGCATTGAAATAATATGCAGTGCTAATTGACTTTTCTGCAATTGTATCTGATCTCTCCGTAGGACCCTGTAAGAGGCTTCAAGTTACCCATCTTAATCATGGAAACTCCAAAATCTTTGGCAAAAGCATAAGGATCATTGCTGTATAGTTTCACCAAACTGTCACTTTCACAACCATCACCCTTGAACAGCTCTTGATCAGAATGGAGGAGACCCTTTTTGTACAACAAAGATTTATAGTATGTGGTGTCAAATTTTGAAGGAGTGGCATCAAGGGGTGCTAAGCTATTGTCTCCTCCTCTTCGAGGGCATGACTCACGCAAAGTGGAAGCAAATTTGGGGTCTATGTTGGTGTCATTGAAGATCCTGTCCCTGAAGTTAATGCACCTTGCTAATCCAATGCTATGGCCACCGGAGAGGACCACCAAATCCTTGAGGTTTAGTCCATGAGTTTGGAAATTAGCAAGAAGCTGTTGAAAGTTGAAAAATGGAGCTGGAAGATTGTCATTCGCAGCATCCCTGCTTGCATTTCTTGCATCTCTTCTGCCTAGTAACACTTGGTACCAATATTGTGGACCACCCAACTGTTAACAATCAACACATCAAGCAAAATATGTGTATGCAAAACAAAAATCATTTATTATTTTGCTATATATGTATATAGAAGTTGGATAGATATCACTGTGAACATGGTTTTAACCACAGAATGATTTCTTGCAGAAGGAGAATTGATGAAAGATTTGGATTGCACTCACTATGGCTACAGAGTCACGAGCAGCTACAGCCAAGATATCTGCGCATGATACTACAGGATGTTTGCAAGCCTTATCCACTGCTGCTTTGATTTTATCAACCACCTCGAATCCTCTGATTGAATTCAGATTTGCGAATGCAGTCTTCTCCCCCAAGAAGAAAGGTGTGTCATCTAGCAGCACTGATCCATCACAGCCCTGCAGTTTTCCCACGTGGATATTTTAGGTTCATCCTACGTTTGTTTAATACTATAATGCTTCAAATTTTGCTATTAGCTTCTGACTTGTACCCTACGCATCATATACATCACAAATAGTTGTTTCCTTTTGCTGTTAAAATAGATATTAATTAATCTAAGTCTCACATCAACTTATAAGAAAAAAAAGGAAGTAATTAATATTAAAGTACTACAATAAATAAATATTTGTTTTTAGTGTTTTCGCCATAACATAATAACTCATTTGGATAATTTGGTAATTGTGTGCAGAAGGTTTGTAATTTTTGGAAAAACAAAAATTATATAAGAAAGTTTGAAATTTTTATGACAAATATACGACGAGGTTTACAATTATATGAAAATTTGATATGNTCATTGCTGTATAGTTTCACCAAACTGTCACTTTCACAACCATCACCCTTGAACAGCTCTTGATCAGAATGGAGGAGACCCTTTTTGTACAACAAAGATTTATAGTATGTGGTGTCAAATTTTGAAGGAGTGGCATCAAGGGGTGCTAAGCTATTGTCTCCTCCTCTTCGAGGGCATGACTCACGCAAAGTGGAAGCAAATTTGGGGTCTATGTTGGTGTCATTGAAGATCCTGTCCCTGAAGTTAATGCACCTTGCTAATCCAATGCTATGGCCACCGGAGAGGACCACCAAATCCTTGAGGTTTAGTCCATGAGTTTGGAAATTAGCAAGAAGCTGTTGAAAGTTGAAAAATGGAGCTGGAAGATTGTCATTCGCAGCATCCCTGCTTGCATTTCTTGCATCTCTTCTGCCTAGTAACACTTGGTACCAATATTGTGGACCACCCAACTGTTAACAATCAACACATCAAGCAAAATATGTGTATGCAAAACAAAAATCATTTATTATTTTGCTATATATGTATATAGAAGTTGGATAGATATCACTGTGAACATGGTTTTAACCACAGAATGATTTCTTGCAGAAGGAGAATTGATGAAAGATTTGGATTGCACTCACTATGGCTACAGAGTCACGAGCAGCTACAGCCAAGATATCTGCGCATGATACTACAGGATGTTTGCAAGCCTTATCCACTGCTGCTTTGATTTTATCAACCACCTCGAATCCTCTGATTGAATTCAGATTTGCGAATGCAGTCTTCTCCCCCAAGAAGAAAGGTGTGTCATCTAGCAGCACTGATCCATCACAGCCCTGCAGTTTTCCCACGTGGATATTTTAGGTTCATCCTACGTTTGTTTAATACTATAATGCTTCAAATTTTGCTATTAGCTTCTGACTTGTACCCTACGCATCATATACATCACAAATAGTTGTTTCCTTTTGCTGTTAAAATAGATATTAATTAATCTAAGTCTCACATCAACTTATAAGAAAAAAAAGGAAGTAATTAATATTAAAGTACTACAATAAATAAATATTTGTTTTTAGTGTTTTCGCCATAACATAATAACTCATTTGGATAATTTGGTAATTGTGTGCAGAAGGTTTGTAATTTTTGGAAAAACAAAAATTATATAAGAAAGTTTGAAATTTTTATGACAAATATACGACGAGGTTTACAATTATATGAAAATTTGATACTGTTAGAGAAATGCAGAGAATGAAAACTGATAGAAGATATCAGAACAGAAAAATGAATGTGGAAATATTGAACGTGTATTATTGAACAGCAAAAGTGTAATACAGACAGTGTTTTATAGTAAACAGAATAACAGAAAAAACTGTATAACAGCTTGCATTTAAAACTCCTAACAATGTGGATATTCTTTTCTTTTATTCTTTTTATTGCGTGATTTCCAAAATAAACTATAACATAAGGTATTTCAGTCTTATATTTTATAATGAATCATATAAAGGTGTTAATACATATTATCCTATTTATCGTGAGTTGAACGTTTAGTGAATTAATCGACCTTAAATTAAAGAGTTCAAAAACTTCAAATATAGTCCGATTTATCACAAATTAATAGGTTAAATAAATTGACTTACTTAATTATAAGTTTTTGTTTAACACCAACAAAAATTAAAAAAAATCCTAATTAAAATTTAAATAAAGTTCAATCCAAATTTAAAATTATGTTAAACTTCAAATACAATTCAAAATCAAAAAAAAAAAATATAATCTAAATACATTTAGAGATAAAAGACCATTTAGAATCTTTTTTAATATAATTTTATATTTATGATTTATGGGTAGATTAGTAAACGTAAAGTATTACAATAAATAAACATATGTTTTTAGAGTTTTCACCACAAAATAATTTGGTAATTGTGTGTTGAAAGTTTGTAATTTTTTCCAAGAAAAAATCATATAAGAAAGTTTGAAATTTTTATTCAAAATATATGACAAGGTTTGCAATTATATGAAAATTTGATATGTGGATATGCTTTATATTTTTATTTTTTTATTGTGTGATTTCCAAAATGAAATTAACATAACATATTTTAGTGTTAAATTTTATACTAGATCATATAAAGTTATTAAATCCGGTCATCCTATTCAACTAGACTAGTCATTTGATGAGACAACCTAATTTTACTTACTCAGAGAGTCTAAAAATTTTAAATCTGACTCGATTTATCATAGATTGATAAGTTAAATAGATTGACACACTTAATTATAATTTTTTTCAATACCAACAAAAATTTTAAAAAAATTAATTGAAATCTAACTTAATTTCAATCCAAAATGATGTTAAACTTCAAATACAATCTAAAATCACAAAAATAGAATATAATTCAAATACATTTAAAGATAAGATAGTATATTTAGGATTTTTCTTTTTTTAATATAATTTAATATTTATGATTTATGAAACTAGATTTTTAATAGATTAAGTTCATTTTTTACCCATATCAAAATTTGTAATTTATTGTTAATCCAATCAAGCTTGAACTCCTAATAGACTGGATTGATTCACTAGTTTTAATCTATTTTGACAGGTCTACGTGTGACCGAAATTTTGGTGGAATGAAAATTAATTTTAATTATGTAAGAATAGTTTGAGGATAAAATAATGTGGAACTTACATTAACAAAGCAGTCATGGAAATGCAAACGCAGCAAGGATGCTCCGATGCGTTTTTCATGAAGAATTGCCTCCTTTACAAGTGAGTATATGATTGGCAATGCCTGAGGGCAAACTTGGTCATAATAATCATGACTTAGCTGAGCAAAGGTAGGGATCATAAATGTTGGCACCAAAGTGGCCATAAAAATCAGAAGAAGAGATTGAAGATGAAAAATCATTGTGCTGATAAGATATTGCTTTGTGAGTGTAGCTAACAAAAGTGCATAGGATTTATATATAAGAGGGAATGATGTAGAGAAACTTGTTTTAGTTACCAACATATATAATATTGTAGGTCATAGTAGACCAAGTGATTTTCTTCTCAGTGCCATTCACCACTATCCCATTACAATTCTTCAAGCACTGCTTCACCAACTCTTAGATGCAGACATATATAATATATAGATACATATATGTTGCAATTATATACTATTGCAGAAAAGAATATCACTGTTCATAAAAACTTTGGTTCTGATCAAATTTGGGAGGTCTACACCTTGTAATATTTGGGAAATAGCATATATAATTTTGGATGAGTTTGTTGCATTTTTTTTTTATAAAAAAAATGTGTTTCTTGGTTTCAGTTTTTTATGGTTTGTGTTTATTTTAAAGAAAACATTTTTCTGTCTTTTTTTTTAAATAGAAAAATCCCTTATGTTTTTTTTTTTTAAATACGATATTATTTTAAAATTTGCCCTTTAGTAACAAAACTGCCCTTTTTGTATGGTTTTATATTAATTATAGAATATTGTTTGGTTGAAGACTATTTATATATTAGTGTTAAATATTTGTATAAGAAATAGTGGAAAATGTATTTTATTATTGTTTCGTCAAAAAATAAACTTTAAAAAATAGGGAATACAAATAAAATAATATGATATCTTTGCAATTAAAAAAACAAAAATATAACTTTTGAGAACTAAATATCTCGTCTCAAATTGTGAAAGTTGGCAAGTGGAAAGTTTAAGTGAGAAACTAAGCCTCTAATTACTACCCGTTTGTATTATTAAGTATGAAATTAAATATAATGACTAAGAACAATGAAAAACTAGTTAATTTTACTATGATTTTTTAATTAAGTGATGACAACTAATAGAATTAATTAGGGTTTGAATCCTACGAGTCCCTTCTAGCAGTTAAACTCAAAACAAGTTCACTCAAAAATCTTGAACTTCAAATTAGCTAAAATGCTTAAATTAATCTCTTGAATTAAAGCACTACTTAAAATGAAATTTGATGGCATATAAAATGAAAATTCGAATCTAGAAATTGGTCTAGCTAAGCCTCTTTAGATATGGGTAGTTGTTGAGGGTGATAATTATTAAGAACATATAATTAATAAAGTGGCATGACAAAACACACTAATTAGATGGCTAATTACCCAACACGTTTTCTTAATTAACTATACAGAAGGATATGTATTATATATAAGTTGAAAAGTTAAAAGGGACACCTAAACTTCTAAGCAGTTGTTGGAAAAGGAAAGTCCCCCAAACACTTCTTATGTAATCATAATACGATACATTAGAAAAAAAATTAAAATAAAGATAAACACAACAATATCCTTTATGTTAGAAAATTTATACATCATGGAGAGATTTCGAAGTAAACGATTCTAATCATCCCGCTTCTTGTGTTTCATCATTGTCGTGCCAATATATTAATACACGTGATTAAGTAATTATTAAATATTTTTTTGTAAAAAATAAAAAAGTTAACCAAATGAATCATGATATTATAAAAGTAAAGTTTAATATTTAAATTTAAAAAACTTTCAATCCAGTTGAATCATATTAAAATATTTTACTCTATTGATTCAAAATATTTTTTTATTTTTTGTTTAAGTGGGTTCATATAACTTGTCATTACTTCTATTTTCTGGTTTCTATCTTGTTTATCAACTCTCACATTTTCTTTTTCTAACTCTCTCTCTAACTCGTTAGTCAACGCGTTCTTTGAAAGTAAAAAACGAAATAAGTAAAGAGTAGGAAGAGTTTGCAGAAGAAAAAGACTGAGTTTGATAAAAAAAAAAACAATATAAACAACAATTACATCTTAACAGAAAAAAATCAAATGATAAGATATTTAAATTAATATATATATATATATATATATATATATATATATATATATATATATATATGTTTAATAAAATATGTTTAAATATTAAAATTATACTAATTGATAAAGTTTAATTATTGGTTAATTAATTGAGAGGCATGAAGATCGGTTGGGTTACATCAAATTCAGATTCAATTTGATCAATTTAGAATAACTTGAATTTAATATTTCAAAATTTATATTTGGTCATTTAAGTTATCGAATAAGCCGGATAGGGGTTCTTTGAGATTGAGCCAAATTTGAGTAGGTCAGTTGCCAATTCATATTGTATCAATTTCAAAATAGTTTTTATATTATTTTTAAATAAATACAATAAATATACTGAATCTTCTTAAAAATCATATCTATAATTTTAATAAGTATTGTTATAATTAGCTATTACATTTTAACCAAAAACATATCATATTAAAAATAATATTTAAAATTTAAAATATATCTATAAATATTAAAAAATAACTGTTACTCAAACTTAATTATTATTATTATTATTATTATCTATTTTACCCAACCTTATTTATCTAACCCGACATACAAGAATTAATGTGCTTTCAAACCTTACCAGAATATTAATGAATTAAAATAGTAGCTGAATTAAATTGAAGTTGGGCCTTGTAATTGTCATACTGGGCTTCAAATACTGATCTGCTGCACGGAAAAACTTTGAAGAAAAAACGGGAGTTTTTTTCACCAAGTAAAAGAATAAAATGCAATTGCATAAATAACTATTTTCTTATTCTCTGATACAATTCACGAGATATTATAAATTATATATATGTAAATTTAACAAGTGTATGCTTCTGATTGGATAGTTCAAACCATTCCATACATCATAAATCCTTCTATTGAATTGTTTGTGCATAATAATCTGAGCAAGGTTTGTACATCACCATCACTGATTATATGAAAGACACAAATTATAGTATTTTCTTAGAGCATTGAAAGGATTCATTTCGTATATTGTTTCATTTTATTTACCTTCAAGTATTTAATAAACGTATAATTAAGAAAGTATTGGCTTGAAATGCATAACATAAATATAAGTGTAAAAGATCTCAGGTTTTAGATTACCATTGGAGTTGCTTAAAACAACACATAGAACACGCAAAATGTTTCATTGAACAACGCAGACATGACCAAGCATATTATACAATATGGTACAATACATACAGCTTCTTATTCTTTCCACTGCATACCATTATTGAAATTCACACCTTGTAATTTGTGATTCTAATTCACCCTTCTGCAGTGACATCTGATCTCTCCCTTACTCCCAGTAAGAGGCTTCAAGTTACCCATTTTGATCATTGAAGCTTTGAAATCTCTAGCAAAAGATACAGGGCTTCTACTGTATAGCTGCACCAGCTTGTCACTTTCTCTGCCTTGTCCCTTGAACAGTTCTTGATCAGAATGGAGGAGACCCTTTTTCTGCAGCAAATCTGTGAAGTATCTGCTGTCAGCTCTTGCAGGAGTAGCATCTAATTTTTCTAAGTTATTGTCTCCACCACTTCGAGGACATATGTTCCTCAAGGATGCTGCAAACTTGGGGTCAATGTTGGATTCATTGTAGATTCTGTTTCTGAAGGTAGTGCACCTTGCAAAGCCAATGGTGTGGCCTCCAGAGAGAGCCACAAGGTCCTTCACATTCAATCCGTGAGATTGGAAGTTGGAAACAAGCTGAGAGAAGCTGAAGGTTGGTGGAGGAAGATTGGAATTTGCAGCATCCCTGCTTGCAGTTCTTGCATCTCTTCTACCCAACAACACTTGGTACCAAAAGTGTTTTCCCCCGTACTGTTAACAGCAAAGAGAAGCATATTACAGTTTGAAATAACTCTCATGAAATGTAGTATACGAACTTTCTGTGAAATGTTTGTGTAACACTTACAATGGCAACGGAATCACGAGCTGCTATGGCTAAAATATCTGCACATGACACCACAGGGCGTTTGCAGGCCTTGTCAACTGCTGCTTTGATTTCATCAACCACAGAAAACCCTCTTGCTGAATTATTATTTGGAAAAGCTGTCTTCTCGCCAATGAAGTTTCTGGTGTCGTCTAGCAGAATTGATCCATCACAACCCTGTTGTTTCAAATGCAGTTGTCTTACGTTTCAGTAAATTAAATCATAGCACTGTAGCAGAAATGACATGGTGATTAGTATTATCTTTGATCTTTGGAATATAATATTTTTATCTATACCCCATTTTACAGCACACAAGCCGTAAAAGTCTTTAAATAGTGTTGGACATCATGAAAATTTAAATTGTGATTACAGTAAGGTACTGTTTTTATTTGAAAAATGAATGGAGGCTAGCAGCCATGAGTTAGGTGTGCATTATTCTCCATGCAATTAAATTATTCTGTATAGTTTCATATGATAACATGGTTTCTGTCAGTTTGTCTAGCGTACAGAATAATAGAGTTCAGTTAATTATTGCTTGCCGGTCCACTGTTCTGGTTCGTGGATGATAAGATTGAAAGTGGTATAGGAACAATGATTGAAAAAGGAGAGTGTAAAATATATATGAAAGCATTTCTACGTGCTATTTGTTATAAAGTTCCTTTCAATGTATGCATGCAAACCTTTAAAAAAATGTGCAAAAGAAAATTTCAGACTCTTGTGGATTTATACAATTTTAAAAGGGAAGAAAGAGAATCTTGAAAGATAATAAAGGTGATATGATAGGAAAAACAGAATCATATAAAATAAGTGTAAAAGTTACTCTTAAAAAATCACAATAGAAAAATAAATAAATTTAAATAAAATTGCTGTGGAGACACATCAAAAGTTGAAGAAAAGTTACGTATTAACATTGTGAAACGCATTTTTATATTATGATTTAATCACACATCATCATCTATAATAAAAAAATTTACAATAAATATTTTAAAATTACATCAACCATAATTTATAATTAAATGATAATGTAAAAAAGTGAATAGAACCAAAGGAAGAAGTAATATTTTTATTTAATCTTCATATTATTGGAACCAAGATTGCAATGATTTCCTTTACAAAATTAAACCACCCACATTCGCATTCTTCCAACATAATGTAAATATTTTACTTGTTCTTAGATTAAGAAATCTCAGATCCCATACAATCGAATGAATATCGCATATGCATCACTAAAATAGTTCTCGCAAACGGATACCGGCCAAAGTTCCAATACAATCAATTAAAAATAAAATTAATTTTAGAATATATAAATACATACAAATTCTATGTACAAGTAAGTTGGTTTTGTGAAAATTAAATTAAATTTAAAGTTTAACTTTTTAACAGATAGTTTAGAAAAGAAAAAATAATCTCTTTTATTCATATAGTTGAAATAATATTGCTGAATATTTTACAATGAAGTATTTTTTTCCATTACATTCATACCACTTAAATTTAACAAAAAGCAGTTACTCTAACACCGTTTTAAAAAGTAAAAAATAAATCTAATTCAATGTTACATATTAAATTTCTAAGATATCCATTTATTTTTAAATTGATCTTATAATCGATGATCTCCAACAAATATATAAATATAATTCAAGATAATTCGAGAAAATACAATATAAATTACTTTGAAATCACTTGAAAGTCGATGTTTTTTAACAATGTTTTTCTCTGTATGCACAAAATAGGTCAAACTTCCAGCACAGCACATGTTTAAGGAATAAGCTTTGTTTGCCAAAGTATATTTGCAGACATGTTGAAATCTAAGATAAATATTAATATTGTTGGTGTGATAGTAGCATAGCATGTACTAAGAATGTTTAATATGACAGTAGCAGTGACTTACATTGACGAAGCAGTCATGGAAATGCAAGCGCAGAAGAGAAGCTCCAATGCGAGGTTCTCTGTTAATAGCTCTTTGAACCACTGATCTTATGACAGGTAATGCTTGAGGGCAAACTTTATCATAGAAATGAGGAGAGAGGTTTGCATTGACAGGGATCATTAATGTCACCATGCCAATAACCACAAACACAACCAATGATAGAACACCATCATCGGAAGAACCCATCTTCAACCTCTCAATCATACCTTTCCTACCAAAACAAAATAACTTATATAGACGGAAGGAGCATGCTAACCACAAGCCTCATGCTCTCATTTTTTCATTACTTTAATCAATTTTACTATCAACAACATTATTGTATCTTTTTTCAATATATATTCTATCTGCTACCTTTGACCAAAATATAAAACATGAAATAGAAAAGGAGGAAGAAGCCCACAGCTAATATATTCTCTTCAGCATTAAAACCAGTTGATTCAAATACAGTAGACAGCCATCGCCTCCAACTTTTATATCTGTATCATATTTCTTACACACCGTGCTTGTTAGTGTACATAACTATTTGTCATGCTTGTAATAACTCATGTAGTAAGACATATGTATACAGCTATATAATATATTTAACAAATAAAATTAATGACAATGGAAAGAAATATGCCATTATTGGATCTTTGTTGGTTTTCGACCTTTACTTTTTCTTTTCATCTCCTAATGATTTGTATTGAACATTGTACCATTCTTCGGGTCTAAAATTGTAAATATGTTTTGTAAATAGGTGCAAGTAGAGATGGTATAATGAGTTGGACGGTCATGGTGTTGCCACATATTATTTGTGATATTGTACCTCCATTTAACAATTGAGACATATCTGAGAAGATAAAAAGGGTAATTTTATGGTCTCGATTGTTAATCTAAACATAAACTTCAAAAAAAATATTTATTCCTTCTATATTTTGGTTTTGTTAATAACTGGAGTATATTTTAGACATTTTTTTAAATATTTTTTTTTCTTTTTGCTTACATATCAAATCTGGATAAAGATTGATACAAGAGTATAAAATCAGACAAAATCAAAACATATTATAAATGATATTCAAAATAAGCAAGAACAACAATATTGTAAAACTTTAAATAAATCACAACTAAATGTATATTTGGTAAATACTTAGAACCACATGTGTTAAATACTATTATATATTTATACTATGTATTTTGCACAAGCTATTCAATTCTTTTATAAAATCTGATAACAATACATAATTTTTGCATTAAATCTCAAACAAAAAATTAGGTATAGCTCAATAACAATTCTCATATAAACAAAAAATAAGTGATATAATTATGATTTATAAAAAAATAAATAATGCAGCATACATCAAACATAAAAAAAATACATTAAATATAAAATAATTATTTTAATATAAATATGCTAAAAAAATATTAAAAACATATATAAAAGTTTAAATTTTTATGAACTTGGAAAAGCAAAATTAGTTGTAACCAGACTTTCACATGTTTATAATATTAAGTGATAAACTAAAACCTGGAAAAAAAATCCAAAAAACGTTGCAATATTAGATACCAAAAAATAAGGAAAAAAAATATCATATAGGTCTTTCACTTTCGCAATGGAAAGAAAAAGTAGTGAGGAGAGTGGTGGGTGACAATAACGACAACGAAGAGATTAAGAGAAGGGATTTGAGGATAATAGAACGAAAAAATGGGCGAATGGTGCAATGGTAGTAGCAAAGATAATGGCGCATCGAAAAAAAATGAAAGGGGGAAATGGAAAATGGGGGAATTCGTAATGGAAAAAGGGAAGGGAAGAGAGAGAAAGGAGAGTGGCCAAAGTTTGGAAGAAACAATGTTAATAGTAGTAAAGAGTGCTGAATGGAGCAAAGGATGTTGGAAAACCGCGTTGTAGATGTTGGATATAAACAAAGTCCCATGTCGAATAAAATAAGGCTTAATTACCTACTTAGTCCCCATGTTAGGAGGTAATTTTCTGTTTAGTACCCAGTTTTAAAAATGTAGGCATTTGGTACCTATGTTTTGAAATTTGTATCAATTCAATCCTATCCAGTTAACGGCATTATAATTGATGCGAGAAATTAAGGACGTTAATGATAGCCTGGGTGGAATAGCTATCAAATGTTTGAATGCATCTTCATTAACGTCCTTAATTTCTCGCATCAATTATAACGTCTTAACTAGATAGGATTGAATTGATACAAATTTCAAAACATAGGTACCAATGCCTACATTTTTAAAACCGTGTACTAAACATAAATTACCTCATAACATGGGGCTAAGTAGGTAATTAAGCCATAAAATAATAAATAGACATGAGTTTATATATACATAAAATACTCCTTGATAAGAGGTCTTTTGGAGTGGTACTAAAAGCAAATCCATGGAGATTTATAAATATGTGTGTATATTGAACTTACACAACATCAACGACAAGAGAACAATGATGATTTTTTAAGATTTTCAACTTTTTGAACTTAAGTCAATCGAGGCCAAATCTCATTTCTTAAACCTTTTGTTTCGATTCTTTAATAATAGAAGCCAAAAGAAGCATATCACTCAAATTAAAAAGTCAAATATGTATTAGTGGTTAAGGAAAATCGCTTTCGTTTCCCATAAATGACATCAATGGTTCAATCCCAAGTCTGATAAGATAGCATCATTAGAGTCAATCACCACATTCAAGATATTGTCCATTTTGGAGTTTGAGTACTCTCATGTTTTTATCTTTAAAAAACGTCTTCAAAAGGTGAAAAAAGGAAATGATATTTAAAAGGTCATTGACCTTGATTATGAAACTATTACATGAATAAGAGTATTTATTAAGTTCCTAATTTAAGAGTTTTGAGTTAAGAAAAGTGTTTGGTAAGTTAATTGATAAATTTAAGATGATATAAAGAGGATATAACTACTTTATGATATAAATTACATTTATGGTTCTAGGATACATATTATTATGTAATTATAGTTTTATATTTTATTAAATAATTAAGTTCTTGTTAAGTTTTTTAGTACTTTCTTTTTACAAACTATATGTTTTTTGTCAGACCTCGAAATTAAGCAACCAAACCCACCTGTCTAATCTCATTTATTACACCAAAACCCTGCTCATAACCATTTAAAGCGCACTTAGAAACCCCTCTGAGCGGACGCCAGGTGTCAATAAACGAGGATCCGAAAATCAGTTAGTGGGATGCCAGGTGTCAGCAGGAAACGGACGTCGTTTTTAAACAAAACTGAATTTTCTGAAATCCGCGTCACTCTTCTGGCATGCACCTTCTTCTTCCCAAAATTCTGACTTTCCATTTCTCCTCCTTCTCTCTAGAAAACTCTTCCCCTTCTCTCTATCGTAACTCATCTTCCTCTACTCTGATCACGTTTCAGAAACCGTAGAGAGGTCCGGCGTCGTAGCTTCATTCTGGAACCGAACAGTTCCAGATTCTGAAACTGGTAGTTTTTCTTTTCTCTAACCGTTCGTTTTTGGGTTACATGCAAAACCAAGTTTTGGCTGCATGCAAGGGTGTAGTCTAAGTACTTCGATTTTCTTGTGGTTAGATTTTATTGGAAGAGTTAAGTGACCGTTGAGGGTAGAAAACGTTAGTTGGACGAGCCACAAATCTTGCGTTTAGGACAATTTGATCACGAATCCAGGTAAGGGAAGCTTATTTGATTTAATTCATATTTTGTGGTTGTGTGAACGATCGCTGTTTGATTGAACGAATATGATGTATGTTGGTTGACCTGTATGATAATGTTTGATAGTTATGAATGTGAATATGAATTATTACTTTGAAGTATGAATGAATAATGTGAATTCTGAAGTATGTAAATTGATATTTGATATGAATTTATAAAGTATGAACTGAGATGTTAAATCTGGAATTTTGATAATATTGACTATGATAAGAAATACCCCTTATGATTGTGTACGTACGTTACTGGACGGTCTTTGACCGTTCGGTTTTCCAGTGAAAATGATTTGGTAAGGGATTCTTTC